GCTTGGAGGAACGTATCTTTCTGGTTTGCTCGGTTCCGACGCTGCAGACACCGCGCTGACTGGTCCTGTAGTGCTCGACGCTTCTGCTTCTGGGTCGCCCGGCACATGCTCATCGTCTTTGTGTTTTGTGACTTTGCCTTCATTCCCTTCTTTTGCCTTCTTCCTTTTAAGAGCAGCAGCAGGATGCAAAATTTCCCAAGCTTTGGTATAGAGCAAGATCAACCTCTTGTGCTCATCGCCTCCGACCACATAAGGATCTTCGAAGCGACAAGCGGTGATCTGAAAGTTTGCTCTCCACTTGAAGAAAAAGTGTCGAAGTCCAGCAGCTGCTGGCAGATCGTCTGCCGAGTAGCTCTCGCGCGGTAAGGCGCTCACAAGACTGTTGAGCAAAGAAGTCTCTCTCAGAGATTGCAGAACCTTGTTGCGCCACGAAGAGAGCGAAAGGAAACCTTCACGGTCGGCCGTGATCATTACCAGAGCTAATTGTGGAGTTCTGGCCTTGAAGGAACGCTTCGATGCGATGCTTGTGCCGTCTTCGTCCAAGTCTTCTTCGGACGCATCTAGGAAGGACACGTGCGCGTGCAAGAAACCCTCGGGCGCAAACTTGGGTAGACAAATGGGGATCCAGCTTTCAGAACCGCTTTCCCGCAGCGCTTTGGTACCGTAGACGGTGTTGACAATGATGGCCGAGTCAACGGGGTGCACCGAGTGTTGTTTGGGTCGAGCAATGGTGATGATCTTTTCCTTTGCCAGCAAGATGATGTAGAGCAACTGATCAGGTTTTGACTTTTTGTCGGGCACCAAGCGATTGGCCACGTCGTCCCTGGTAGAGGCTGACAATCTCAGCGGTTGCAAAGCTCCAAGGGGAATAGACACGTCCACTTGCAGACGACCAATCAGCGCATCCAAAAGCCCATCCGTACCCTCTAACATTCTCCTCAAGTCGAAATTGGCGGCGCGCGCAAAGAGTCGCTTGAGCTGCGCCGCAGAGACAAGCCCGATGACGCCCCGATGAAGGTGCTCCAAGTGCATCCTGCGCGTCTCTTGCCCTTCACCCCAAGCAGAAATGCATACCAAGTACAATGGCGATCTCAAGAGATACGTGATTTGCTCCCTCTCTTTTAACCTCAGTATTTCTCGAGACTGCAGCTCCAGCGTTCCCTCTGCCGCTTCTTGATAGTTGGAGACGAGAGCTTGGAGGATGGCGCACTTCTGCGTTGCCCGCTCATCCTCCTCATCGTCCACTTCTCTATTGCGACCTCTGAGCTCATCCACCTTCTTTTCGTCCTCTTCCTCATCCACGTCACCATTCTCCGGTGCTTCTCCCTTCTCCAACCTCTCTTGCCGCCTCGCCGCAGACTCGGCCGCGAGCTTCTTGCGCAGCGCAATGACAGAAGCGCTCCGTCTTGCTCGCGCACAAGAGAGCGCGCTGACGTAGATCGGCTTACCAGCAGCGCTCAGCACATAATATTCGCGTTCAGGAAATGCCGTTCGAGCACTCTGCGGATCGGTATCTGCTTGCGTCGCTCCTAATGCATATGCTTCAGAGTAGTCTGTCACAAACGAGAACAGGTGCAGGCCGGTGCTGTCAGCCGCGCGAGAAGTGCTTCAAAGCTCTACTTTGCGTTTCCCAACGTCAGTGGATACTGACCATGCTCGATAACATTCCTAAATCTCTCCTCCTTTGTGCGCATCTTTTCCCTCTTATGCGCTTCCAACTGCAACCTCTTCTGTTCCTCTATTTCCTCTTCTTGCACCAAATTTGCAAGCTTGTTGCTGCTCTGATGATCCGCCTTTCCTTTCGTCGTGCCAGGCCCAGATCTGCTCGGGCGATTCGATTTGGACGAGACAGGGACTGGAAAAGAGCCCCTGGGCAAGTTCGAAGCAGGAGCAGGAGCAGAGGTAGACTGCATCTTCGTCTGAGTATTTTCGAAGTTACGCGGGCTGCTGTTGCTAGTCGACGCCTCGACAGATGTCCCACCTTTTCTCTGCGACGTCTCCCTCGACCCAGCTTTCGCACCCTGGTCCTCATTCTGACCCGGCTTTGTTTTAGACTGATCGGTCGATGACTGTCCCCACCATCTGCCCTTCACGAAGCCCGAGGCAGAGAGGGAAGACGCGCTTATGCCAGATGCTAGCCCGCTCAGATCTGCTCCGCTGCGCAGAGTAGACAGTCCCGGCATGCTAGGTATGCTCCATCTCCATGCCGAGCTAGGTTCTGAGGCAGAGCCAGAGGCAAGGCTCGACATCGATATCGACTGGGTTTTCTCCAACCCCTTTTGGCCCGCCGCATCGATCGAAAGCTGATCCATGGCGGTCCTGTTACCTTGATCTTCTGTAACAACCTCGCCATGGGACCGAGATGCAGCTTGATGATCGAGCATCTGAGCAAGCCCTTGCTTGCCGCTCGTCCCTGCCGACTCTTTCCCCTCCTCATCTTTGCTCTGTGCCTCTACCGCACTTTCTGCCTCTTCTGATCCCGTCGCTTCAGACGTATAAGCGGACAGATCTGCGCGTATAGCGCTCATCAATCTCGATTTGAGCACGTCGGGTCTTTTGTGTTCCTCCTTCCTTCCAACATCCGTTCTATCCTTGTAGCTCTCCAACGCCTCTGCCGCAACTTGCCCCTTCGCATCTTTTGCAATCTCC